CCCCCTCTCTCTCTCCCTCTCTCTCTCACTTCCTCTCTCACATTCAGCCCCCAAATTCTACACAAAGTGACATCATCACCATCCCGGAGTCGCAAACGCAGAACGTTTGAATCACGGGGAATTAAATTCATCAGCAAACGAACAAGCACAGGGTTAAACAACGGGAACAAAAACTGGCCTGTCCACCGGGAAGGACAACAAATACTTGTGTTGGTCTGTGAGAACGGCAAGAAAATACCTCACTGTTTTGTTTAAAATATGTTTCGCCTTCGTGACGGCTGCGGATAAGTCAAACTCAGCACTGCAGTTATAATGGAGGTCGCTGTTATTCGTGCGTGCAAGATAAACATGCAGCCCAAGGGGGAAGATGCTTGGTGGGAAGGGGCGTTTTTTTAGGGGGCGGGGTGGGCATTGAAAATACGCAAAGGGGTTACTACAAAAGATTTGTTTATTTACTGGTCTGTATGACGGAAAACGTACGTTTTTAGATAGATAGAGAGATAGACAAAAAATTGTAACCGTGAGGAAAATGCGCGTGAAATCGAATGAAAAAAAAGAAAGATAAAAAGCTCACTCGGAAATCTGGGGTGGTGGAAGGGAGAGGGAGGAATATCTACTGAAACGGGCAGGGGGCGGAGTGGTTATTGGTGTGTTCAGAGAGTCGTGTTTCTCCAGTGGTTGGCGCAGGTACGCGCGCCTGTACTGTAACAGCTGACCCGTAAGTCACCTGGATCTGATAGAGAAAACAGGTGCGAGGTTTTCACGCGAAACGTAATGAGGGACAAGGTGAGTGAGCCGCAGGTATAATAAAAAGAGGCATACATTTGAGTGTATTTGTGGATATAACAATAAATTTGATGAGGTCTGTGTTTGTGAAGAGAAACGAAAGTAATTCTAGCGACTGAAAAAAGTAACAGCTACGAATATGCAAGCAATAATAATATACGAAATGATTGCAACAGTGCCAGCAGCACTAACAGGAGTATCAGTAGCAAGACCAACAACTCCTGAAGCAGTAGCTTCAACTTGATTACTTGGCTGTTTGATTACTTGGCTGTTTGATTACTTGGCTGTTTGATTACTTGGCTGTTTGATTACTTGGCTGTTTGATTACTTGGCTGTTTGATTGCTTGGTTGTTTGGTTACTTGATTCCAGAACTGGGGTCTTCAGAGACGGATTCTATACATAACTCATCGCCCCTTCTCAGCAGGATACACCATTGAGGTTGTCATACTAATGATCTTCATCAGTAACTGATCTCTGATTCAGCTTCTGCGCTTAAGTACCTTACACAATACGCGTTTGTCTCATTAGGCAGGCTGTTTTCGTTCCATCCATTGCATTCTTCTACAGCAATGTTTTTCGTCTTCAGCGCATTTTTCAAGTTCACATGTAGCCCATTAAAAGACAGGGACGCAGGGAACTGGCATAAAACGCTTTACCCAAGAGTTTCTCTGGCTCTGCGTGTTCTCAAAGGTAATCTTCTCGGAGTTCAAGATGGCCTCGTTAGCTTGGCAACGTGTGGTGCTCATTAAAATTGCTTTCTTAGGCTTGATAGTCTTTAGCAATAAAAGAGATGGATGGACGAATAATTCTGTTCACAGTCCCGCTGGTATGAGAGGATTTATTATGTTTTATGCTCATGTCCAATGGGTTTTCTTTTTTTTGGTGTTGTTTTTAAAAAAGAGAATTTGTGTTCTTGACTTGGGGAACGAGGTTCCGTAATGCCCGATGCACATTGCAGAAAATTTCGTCAAATCGCATTATGATCTGGTTTGATAGATTTGACCGCGACCAAGTTTTACTTATGGAAGGACAAACGCTGTCATTTTGGCACAGTTTAATTAAATTCTCAAAAATCAAACATAGTAAATGTTCTCGGTCTCGATCTGATAGATTTGACGAAAATAACAAATCATAAGACTAGTGCCTCAGATCTTTTGCATCCAGAACCAGTGCAAAAGGCCCAACACGGACTTCCCTAATGGACTTCTTTGTCAAATCAGATGAGGCAAAGCTGAGGTCATAATTTGATATTGTGTGCTCTGGCAAGCACCTTTGCCCGATCCAACTCGATCCGTTCTGATGCAGCCCGATCCGTTCCGATCCAATCCGATCTGATCACGTATTTGACCAGTGTGTAACCGTCCTAAAATACCTGTTAACCAGTTATGCGCTTCCCTAGAGGTTACCTACAAGTAAGTTTTATATATAT